TGCCCAGCATGGTCTATCGAACAATCTGTAACTCCAGAGATAATACATCGTTTGATATATGACAACTGGCAGACCTCTTCGTTGACAGGGGCTTTCTGATTAATGAACGCAAAACAAATCCTCAGAGGGCTGAGATGGGAGCACACTGTACTGCCTGAGTTTCTTCAGCATATTTTCACTGTAAGGTGCCTTTTAAAATGTTCAGGTTTCATTTCAAAAGGGAAGAAAAGATTCATCTAAAGAATACCATTTCATATAAAATTTCCTGCAAGGAATGAATGCCTCTTAAATATCAAGAAAACTTGGTAGTACTACACAATACCACCAATACTTGCTAAAATATATATATAAAATAAGGGGGAAAAAAACCAGGAAAGAAATAATTACCAAGTGAGTAAATGGGCAATAGCAAAAATGCATACCAGTATAAAGATTGTGCTTGCGAGACAAGGATGCTGTGGAATGGCTAAACAAAAGCCAGGGTTGAGGAAGGGAGAGAAGGGGGGGGACTGCCTCAGATCAAAGTTGCTATAGTGCAGCTGCAAACAGCTGGTTTGTCCTACTTGGTTTTGCTCATACAACCTGCCATCCTGAGCAAATCACATACAAAATTTATTACAATAAATCAATCATTTATTAAGAAGTGTGTTCTCCCACTGTGGTTAGTGAAAGCTAGCACAGATTATTTTATGCAAGTCTATTTTTTCCATTAGCTGTACTTTAGGCTCTGAGTGCTTCAGTGCATACAGAACTGCCAGGTTAAGCCAGAGGATCATCATCTGTTCAAAAGCTCTCACCATGACAGTTTTGAAGGAATTGATTTTATTGGTTTAGAGCTTTTTTTTTTTTTCCTCCCCAAAAGCAAAATCTAAGCTGACAGCAATTTACTGTAAATCAGATTTATCATTACTTCATAGAATCATAATTATTATTACATCTACAATTTTTAAAATCTCCCTTGATTTGGAGCTCGTCTGGCTGGAATAACGTAAGCAGACAGACACTAGGAGAGCTCTGACCTATTTCAACTACTTTCCTGAAGTTTCACTACTGTAACAAAAGATCTTTGGAAAATGACAGAAACACTCCCAGGGATTCCTGGGCATATGTAAATAATCCCCATCCCAGCTATTGAGACACTGAGCAGTTGATTACAGAAGAACAGTAGAAGAGTCTTCAGAATGAGCTTTGTTTTCAAAAGGAGGGGAAAGTTGGAGAAAACGAACTGTGCAATTAACATTTCCTTCTTTTTTAACTGCTCTGACCATTACTGTTCTATTCCCCCCCCACACACTTTTGCTAAACTATTGTAATCAGCTCGTGCTGAGTGTTTCCAAGGGAACGTACCCTTTATTACTACTTTTAATGACTCTTACTTGGAGAAAGTTCAACAACAAACTTAACACCATAGCTGAAGCAGAGTCACTACTTGAATGGTAACTCAGCTAATGCTAACCAGCCAACTAAAATTTCCTGGTACCTGTCAGGGCACTGCTGTGAATGAAAACTACAAAAAAAGCAGCTGTAGCAATTGAACAGATCAATACAATGGGAAAGGCACTAACAACAAGGGCAAGACGATGAAAGGACTAGCACAATGGAGAGGTGCTACAAAGGAAGGGAATTAGATTGCTCACCCGCACCAAAGGATTCTAGGATCGAAGTGGAAAGCTTCACCAACGAAGAATCTCCATGCAGAGACCCTTCCCCCGTGGAAGACAGCCCTTACATGAGCTCGGAGAGAGGTGCAGCCAGGCTGTACCCCTTCCTGTCACGCCGCTGAATTGTTTTCACCTGTGCTCCCAGGGCTGCCCCAGTCCTTTCCCCAGGTGCTCAATCAAAGATTCACGCTGTGAGTCAACAGTTCCCATACAGCAGTCAAGTGGAGAAGCACAGCAAGTACAGCCTGAACACAGATATGACAAAAAAAAGATATAGAGGGGAGCATACTTGTTTTTTGGAAATAGATGGACAGTATTCACTCAAGTGCTAAAGCCCCACTTTCAACAAGAAGAGAGTGAAGGCCCCACTCTTACAGGAAGGATTCATTCTTGCAAGGAAGGATTCAGGCTGAACACAGAGGTCTCTGATAAAGATAGATGGAGAAGTTCCTTGAGAACACTGTGCTGTCTACAGCTCCCTCACTGAGACAAAGCATGTCAGATACTAATCTCATGTGCTGATCTTAGCCAGAAGGTAAAGACAGCTCTCGAGTTCACTGCAGCCACTTTCATTTGAGCTGACACTAGTGAGCCAGATAAGAAAGCTGGCACAAGAAGTGCTTGGTGACATGAGTAGCACCTTCCTTTGCTACTCACAGGTAACAAAACATTGTGCCTTCCTCATGTTCACATGAAAAGATGGCAATCTGGTCTGAAAAAGGACAAAACTGGAAAACACACAAATACTCCTGCAAAATGGGATGGAGGTAAACCAGGTATCAATTTGTCATACCAGAGGAATTTAGTTTATTGCCATCATTAATGGATATCCTACCTGAATATAAGTGAGTATGACTCAGTACAAACATTTTAATAGATAAAAGATATTATGGAAAATGTGAAATCATGAGAAGCAAAACAAAGGAAAGTGACCTTCTTTGAATAGGATATCTGAAATATGATTGTTTTAAAGAAATTTCCACAGAGAAATGTATGCTTCCACCATCAGTTCCCTTTTGACTCTGAAACCACTGCTGATGTGTAAGATGCCTGAAGGAGCTATTGTAAAAAAAAAAAAAAAAAAAAAAGAGGGGGAGAAGGAGGAAGGCAGAAGAAAAAAAGATGACAAATAAAAAATAGAATCGGACTGTACAAAAAATTCTCAGAGACAAAGCAGCCAAGAAAAAAAAACCAAGCACGCCACTAGGAGAAGCTCTTTGGCAGGTTGTATTGAAGAGGACATCAACAGCAGCCCTGCTGAAGAACCACAAATCATTCATTGTTAAGCAGCCTCTTCCTTTTGTGAAGCAAGCAGGTAGCAGTGAGGAGGTATTCCACTTACTGACTTCAGATGTGCTGCTCAAATGGGAATTGGCTCCTAAACAACTGTGTAGGCAGAACAGAACAGAGGCTGCCCAATATGGGCCTCCTCGAAATCTGAAATGGATCTCAAACATTATCTAGACGTTGTGGTGTACAGATCCTACAGTTACAACATTAAATAAAATGTAAACACGGGAATTCTGATGTTTCTGCTTCTCTTTATAATGTAGCTGCTCTATTTAAAATGGTGCTATTCCACAAAACTCAATACCAGTAGGCCAGAATCTTTTGCTGTGTCAAGGGAAGAGATAAATTTGTATGGACAGCAGGCCTGCCAGTACTGAAGCAGTTAAAAGGCACATCAGGTAAATGGGGCTCAACAGTTAAGTCAGCTGCAGCTCTCACAAATCATCACGCTGTCAATTTTGATTGATGAGTCTGTAAACATAGGAAAATCATAGTTTTGGCATAGAAACATAACTCCTATAATCTCTTTGCAGACTAATTAAACAAGTACTCTTTCTATCAAAGTGTTTACTGTAAGACAAATCGAGTACACTGAATATATGAGGTTCATTAAAATTAACAGAGATTTGCAATCCTTTTATTTCTCTCAAAAAAAACCAACAACAAAAAAACCTACAACAAAATGTTAGTTTAGACCCATCTAATCAAAACTAACCAACCAAAAAAATTGTTTTCTCATACAAATGAAAATCAAATCATTTTGCATTACTGAAAATATTTTGCACTACCCATTTCAATTTTAGAAGGTTTACTTTTTCTTTTTTTTTCCAATTTATCATTAAATTACAAAATTGAATTTAGGCCAATTTCAAAACAGAACTTCCATTTAGATTGAGTAGCTGTTTAGTTCAGGGAATGCTTGGGAAGATGATTTTGTTTTTCTACTCTTTGCTTCTGCCTCAAAGGCTGTATTGAACTCAATATCATAAATTTTCAGATCAGGTAAACTTTTTTTTTTTGTGTCAGTGAGTAAACCATATTTATGCAAAAATGCTTCACTACATTTCTTGAGAAGCAGACAGGCATTATAAAGAATTACCCCTGGTCTACATTTACCTCTCTTATGCTGTGATCAGATTCCATTATTTTACATTCCAGTTCCACTGAAGTTATTACAAGAAGTCAAAGAACATAAGAGAACCCAACTGAAATGTATTTCTAACAGGACTGCTCCATGGCTATAGGGCTGACACTCTCCATCTTTTCACTCTCCTCTTGGGTATTAGTAGCAATGGCCAAGTCAGCACCAGACCACGTCCTAACATTCACCACTGTAGGTATTACAACAGCTCATTTATGCCAACACAAACCGACGTTATTCCCTACCGCTTTCTTGACGATATACAAACCCAAATTTTGCTTTGGGAATGGATACCACTCAACACATCACTACATCTGTTGTGCTAACTTTCTCTATTGCTTCTATAAATCTCTCTAAGAGACATCCTATGAGAGTTTCTCTAAAAGTGTTCATACTTCCATAAAGATCCAAATCCTATTAGACAGATGCAGTCACTTAATGGGAAGTGAGTTCCTCAGAAAGTGCTAAAAATAATTTATATGCATAAATATGCAAATAGCATTTATGTTTCAAAGTGTTGAATGAAATTCCCCTTTTCAAGAATGACCTACGCGATACGGTGTTGTTATTCAAAACAATTAGTTTAGTGAAATTTAATCTCAAAGGCATAACATGCAAAAGAACACAATTAACAAACTAAAGACTCAGTGAAAGGTTTGATTTGTAATAAACATCTCAGCACATTACCTTTCTCATCACAACTCACTGCAGCCAGCCCTTGTTGCTGTGCTGTTTGAATTCAACATTAAGCTACTGGACTTTAATTGCTGTATTTACCACTTTAATGAGCTTTTAGAATTATCCTACTGAAAATAAGCAGTTATTGAAGCTACAGAGAAAAGCATATTAAAAAAAAAAAAAAAAAAAAAAAAAAGTGTGCTCTTTGGTAGTCTCCCTCTTCTTTTTACCTGACTCTTACTACTTCTGAATGACAGACCAGGAGAAGGCTGAGCTTGCAGAGTCGTTGGGTCGCTGGCCTCGCAGCTTTCAGGCAGTGTTATCCTGAGTGCTGCAAAAGAAAAAAAAAAAAAAGAGCAAATGGTTTAGTAGCACTGTGTGCTGTGAAATCCACTGCAAAGAGCCCCAGCAAGTCCTCGATCGTTCTCAGACAGACTTCTTGTGCCACCTAGTGACGAACGCTTCTTCCATTCTGCACATCTCTTTTCTTGCCCCCTCCTTACTCTCATATTAGCAAGCCATACTTCTGATTAAATCAACAAAACACACACAACAGGAAGAAGAAAACTGAAATGCCTACAGCCACATCATCACAGGTCCTGCACCTAATTTTGTATTTTTAACTCATTTCCACTATCACTTCTCTCTACATACTTCCTCCCATCCAAGCCCAGATCTCACTGCCCTTTTCTATCTCTTCAGCTCTTGCCAACTTCCCAGAGGCACCTGTACATATGGAGGATTCCTTCACTGGCTCAGTGTGTTACAGATCACTGGCCCCAGCAGAGGTCCAAACAAAAGGGGCAGGTAACAACAAAGGGACAGGTAGTTGGTTTGACCTGAGTTTGCACCAGGCACGAGTTGTCTCAGTGCCAGAATCGAAGAATCATAGAATCATCAAGATTGGAAAAGACCTCCAAGATCATCTAGTGCAACCATGCCCACTGATCATCTCCCTCATTGCCAAATCTCTGCCTTCCTTGAACACCTCCCAGGGACAGGGTATCAACCACCTCTCTGGGCAGCCTGTTCCAGTGCCTGACCACTCTTTCGGAGAAGGAATTTTTTCTTAATATCCAACCTGAATCTCCCCTGGCACAACTTGAACCTATTCCTCCTAGTCCTATCCCTATTTACATGGGAGAAGAGGCCAACCAACACCTTGCCACAACCTCCTTTCAGGGAGTTGTAGAGAGCTGCAAGGTCTCCCTTGTGCCTCCTCCTCTCCATACTGAACAATCCTAGCTCACTCAACTGTTGTGAGGTGTTCCTGACACCTCACAACTTTGTTGTCCTTCTCTGGATACACTCCAGGGCCTCCATGCCTTTCTTGCAGTGAGGGGCACAAATGGAACACAGTACCTGAGGGGTGGCCTCACCAGAGCTGCGTACAGGAGGATGATTACCTTCCTGCTCCTGCTGACAACACTATTTCTTATACAAGCTGGGATGTCACTGGCTTTCTTAGCCACCTGAGCACACTGCTTGCTCACATTTACCTGAGTGTCAACCAACACCCTCAGGTCCATTTCCTCCACACAGTCTTCCAGCCACTCTGCCCCAAGCCTATAGCATTGCAGGGGGTTGTTGTGGCCAAGGTGCAGGACCTAGCAGTTGGTGTTGGTGGTCCTCATCCCATTGGCCTTAGCCCAGCCCAGCCTGTCCCAATCCCTCTGAAGGGCCTTCCTACTCCCAGGCAGATCAACACTTCCTCCCAACTTGGTGTCATCTGCAAACTTACTAAGGGTCCACTCAATCCCACTGTCCAGGTCATCAATAAAGACATTAAAGAGGCCAGGCCCAAATACCAATCCTCAGGGAACACCACTCATGACTGGTTGCCAGCTGGATTTAACTCCATTCACTGCCACTCTCTGGACCCAGCCCTCCAGCCAGTTCTTTACCAAGCACTGTGCAAGTGAAAGGCTGCCAGCTTCTCTAGGACAACGTTTCTCTACGAAGCTGCATAAAACCCAGGGAGATCCTGCCACAGCAAGTGAACCCTGGAATACATTGAGCCTCAGGCTGGTTCCTGCTCTCTTTCTCCAAGGAGAGGAACACAAGAAGGAAAAACAGTGCCGAGTTGCTCAAGGTTCATTCTCTTCAAGCATTATACTAGCTTAACTCCACACACATGCCTATGCAATGCAATGAGAAAACCTAGGAGCTCTGTGAGATGCTTATGGAAAAAAGACTTTTCCAGATCCAGACTATTGAGCACATCCTAGCAGGTCTGTTCAACCTGTGCTTCAAATCCTTCCAGACAAATCAGGGAGAGTCTAGAAGTGTACTTTTTACATAACAGCAGCATGAAAAGCTAGCCAGGGTTGGAAGGGACCTCGAGGATCATGAATCTCCAACCCCCCTGCTGCATGCAGGGCCACCAACCTCCACATTTAATACTATACCAGGCTGACCAGTGCCCCATCCAACCTGTCAAGGGCCCCATCCAACCCCATCAAGGCCTTGAACACCTCCAGGGATGGACGGGGCATCCACAGCCTCTCTGGGCAGCTGTTCCAGCACCTCACCACTCTCTCTGTAAAGAGTTTCCCCCTGACATCCAATCTAAATCCTGTTTTACATGTCGGTAGCGCCCCTGCCACAGGCTGAGTCCAATCTAAATCTCCCCTCCCTCAACTTCAAACCATTTCTCCCTGTCCTGCAGTTATCAACCCTTTCCAAGAGTTGATTCCCCTCCTGTTTGTAGGCTCCCTTCAGGTACTGAAGGCTGCAATGAGGTCACCCCTCAGCTTCTCTTCTCCAGGCTGAAAAAGCCCAGCTCCATCAGCCTGTCTTCGTAGGGGAGGTGCTGCAGCCCCCTGATCATGTATCAGTTCCATCGTAAGAGTTTGATTTCCCATTACGGTTTTGCAGGATGGTGGAATTACAAATACAAAATAGGTCAGATCCACCGGTGACGCGACAAGACGCTGAAGGCGATCGCGTAACGGCCTGCAGCTGCGCCCGCGGAGGGTCGGGCCGCTACCAGGAGCGAGGCGGTCTTCGAAGGAGCGGCCAGGCGCCGGCACGGCTGCCCAGGGAGCGGCGGGGCCTCCGCCCTGCGGGCGCCCCAGGAGCGCGGAGCCGCGGCCCTGAGGGACGCTGTCTGCGGGCGGGCCGGGCCGGACTCGGTGATCTCAGGGAGCTTTTCCAACCCGGCCGATTCTCCGGTGCTAAGTGACGGCCGGACCGCGGCGATCGACGCGCAGGAATCCGCGCTGCGCTTCGGTGGCCGGGCCGTAAGGACGTGCGCCTCTGCTCCTCCCCGCGGCCACTTCGGAACGCCTTCGCAGTCCGTCGGCCCGCCCAGCCGGAGCCCCGCCCCGAGCACGGGCGCCTCACGGCCGTGACGCCAGACCCGTTTCGCGCGTCGGTAGCGCCCCCGCCGCAGGCCGAGCCCAAGTCCCGCCCGTCCATCCGTACCTCGGCGCTCGCCCCGCCCTCCGCCGGGCTCTGCTGCTCCGGGCCGCTCGGGATCCACCGAGCGAGTGCGAACGGCGGAGACGGGGCCGCGCAGCCCCTGCTTGGAGCCAAGGCGAGGGGACAAGCCGGGGAGCGTGGGGCCGAGCCTTGGGGCTGGCGGCGGCCCCCAGCCGGGCGGGGCGGGAGCCCCTCAGCGCGAGGTGAAGCCCCGCCCCATCGTCCGCGCGGCGCCGGGCCCGCTCCGGCTCCTGAGCTGCGTCCGCCCAGAGCCGTTTTGTTCGATTCAGCCGCCGCTCCGCCCCTCGTCTTCTCCCATCCTTCCTGCGGAGCCGGGCTGCGGGTTCGTCCCTCGCGTAGGCTCCGCGGCCACAGGAGGCCCGCCCCGAGGAGAGGCCGCCCCGCCCCGCTCCGCGGCGCCGCGTTTCTGAACGTCGCCGGCGATGCCGCAGCGCTGAGCTCGCGGCGCCATGGCGTCCGGCTGCGCGCCGCCGTTCGGGGACGCGGCGGAGATGCGGGAGGGCTTCTTGTGCCCGCTGTGCCTGAAGGACTTGCAGGCGTTCCAGCAGCTACGGGCGCACTACGAGGAGGAGCACTTCGGCGAGGACAGAGACGTCAGAGGCCAGCTCCGAAGTAAGGGCCGCGGCGGTTTCCCGGCGTTCTCCCGTCCGCCGTGTCGAGTCCCGTACGGCGGAAGCCGCCGTGCCGCGGGCGCTCCGGGTTCCTGCCGGCGCTGGAACGCCGACGGAAGCCCGGGACGAGAGAGGCGCGGGGCCCCGCTGCTGTACGCAGGGCCGGGCGCGTCGCGTTCCTTCGCTCCTGGCGCGGCCGCTTCCTGGTCTGCAGGCCTCCTTGCCGCTCGGCCGCGGCGCTTGGTGCTGCGGGTTGCTGTTGGCTTTTGTTTGTTTTCTGGGCACGTTTTTTTACGTGAGAACTCCCGATTTGTACTGTAATACACGTGAGTTTCCAGGCGTTAGTTGGAGGCCTTAAAGAACGGGGGAACCTCTGCTTCCTGCCAGGTACCAGCCTGGGACTTTACTACTGTGCTGTTATTGCTGTACTTAACGTCACTTAACATCATTTATAGCATTACACCTGCCACCCGGCTTTCAGCAGATGTCTAAGGGAATTAACTCTAGAAGATACTGAATGTGTTTACCAAAAGAAGTGGTGTCCTTACCTTCTGCCAACATAAAAATGCTGGAGTTTGAAGTTTTCTTTTTAACCCAGGAAACTGCTCTCCTCTCACTAGCTGTTGTACAAGATAATGTGGTGATCTTTCAGTTCTTTTGAAATTGCTTGGGTGCACAGCACACTGATGTTCTTAGCTTGTGCTTCTGTGCAAAAGTACAAAGAAGGTATGGAACGTCCTTGAATCCAAGGAAAATCATTAGGAATTAAGAGCGCACATACAGTCTGCCAGTGCTCTGTGAAGTAGGGTCTCACAGTTTGATACAGTCCACTCTTTTATAGTGATGCCCCTGTATGGAATGCCTAAAATTACCTGTTTGTCGTTAGGACCGCAGCACTACTTTAACAGATAACAGAAAGCATTTCCTGCCATTGGTGACACTGAACAATACGTTGGTTCTGAACAGAGCGTATTGACTTGTTGTGAAGGCAAGAGATTTGTTCCAGATGGTAAGAAGTACACCATCCTAGTTTCACAAGATGAATACTGAGAGGCAAACTGCCTGCTCTTCTTTATGCGGGCTTGTCTATTTTCAGGTCTTGTCCAGAAGGCCAAGAGAGCAAAGAAGAAATTGCTGAAACGAGAAGGAGATGACAGAACTGATTCTGGATCTCAGGAACGATATGAGTCATTCAACTATGGTGGCATAGATCCATACATGTGGGAGCCCCAAGAGCTAGGTAGGTGAGCTTGAGAGTGATACATGGTGGAGGTAACTTTTAATTTTAATGGGGAAAAAGTGAGTATTGCTGAAGCTGTGTGGAATTGTTAGTATTACATGTGATTTACTGTAGTGTGGAGTCATGGCTTGCATATCGATCCTCTGCTGCCTGCATGCATTGTATAGGATGATGAGGAAAGTGTAGATTAGGGGTGGGGAGGGAAGATCTATAGAGCTAGGATGTAAACTATTCTCAAAAGCAGTCATTTCATTGGGTCTGAGCTATGGAGTTCTTTTTGGTACATATTTCGCTCTGTGCATCCAGCTTTACTGGTTCTGCAACCATCACCATCTGGCTTCTTACAAAACAGGTGATAATCCATTATTATTCCACTGCTATTTAATGTTGCCACAGCCGTGTTAAATCTATGGCTTTTTGGTTACTCTTAAAGCAGATGTTTTGCCAGACATATAAACTATTGCTTATCCCTTAGTTCAAACTCTACCAGCTATTTCTTTGGATTTGAGGTACAGGTAATCTATCATTAAGTCATTTCACTTTAAAAAATAAGCAGCCAAACTCTGGCTGCAGGGTCAGACATTGCAGAAGTTAGCAAATATGTTGAATGAGTCTGTACTTACAGATACTGTTACTGGAAGTTGCCTTTTACTATTATAGAAATGCTGTGGTTATTTTTAGGTGGGAGGAGGCAGCACTGTCTCTGGTGGGTCCTGAAAGTTCTGCTGTGGTGCTGACAGATGAGGAATTTCGTCCTTTGGGACTGCAGAATCCAAGCTTTGCAGATAACTGGCTTTTTTTTTTTTTTTAAATAACCAGAGTGGAGAAGATGAATCTTGCAGATTTTAACATGATTTGGTGGAGGGATGTAGGGGTTTCTGTAATGTCTCCACTGCAGAGATTGAATCAGGTTACTTAGAGGGGCTCTCCCCTTCCTATGAATTTGGCTACAGAGAGGTTTCTACGTATTTCATTACAACAAGGAAGTGACATTGTACAGTTAGTGTCAAAGAGCAACATCTGCTTTTGTTCTACTAGTCAGAAGAAGAATTTTTGACTGTAACTCTGATTTTTTTAATATCTGTCTTATGGAAAAGATCAAAACCTAAACCCAGGTTTATTGAGAATGAATTATATATTTAAATAGATGCTGTATTGTTCTTTTGTATACTTGTGATGAGGTTTCTGCAAATCTGTGATACGATCAAGGATTTGGTTCAGACCCCTAAAGGTGAGAAGGATGATAGCAATCTGGAGGAAGCTGCTGTTGCATGGGCCTCAGATAATCATTGGACTTGCATCTTGTGTTTGTTCCAGATGTAGTAAGGAAATAACAGGGGCAGTTCTTGACAACAAGACTGGCTGGTAACACCTTACTAAATGTAACTGAGGGATAAAGATGAAAAAAA